AAACTAAAAATACAATTATTGATCCAACACTCCTGCCTTAATACAAGAGCAGAGGCAGCTGCATGATTTTGACTGCTTAAAAAAAGATTTCGCTCCAGTCATATTTACTATAAATTCATACAGTAATTCCCAACATTCCATATAATTTTCACCTTTATTAGTTTAATACGATAGTAAAAGAGAACCTAGTATAGAGCTGACAAGCAATTTAGTCTGAGTTGTTGAAACTACACAGGTTTAATTGAGTTCTCGTGCTTAAAAACAAGAGGTACAGAAAAGTCTACTCAAACAATAGTATGCATCGATACCAAACTAATTAACATTATGTAATAAATAAAAGACAATAATAAGCCATTTAAATTCACAACTGCATCACATTCTCTTATTAAAACATCTTTTAAATCTATATATTTTAGTAAGATATGTGTGCATCTTTTATTTTACAATAAACTGGGATTTTTTAAGAACACTATATAATATTTTAGCTTCCTAAATATTTGTTTCATTCAAGCAAAAGGAATAAAGCATGATGCATACCAAGGCATTCCACTAGATGGCGTTAGATAATTTTTTTAATGTCTACAAGAGCTACACTACTTGATACCCATGAAAACATTAGTCGGAATTAATGTCGGAATTAATTATTTGTTTTATTTTTGGTTTATAACATTGTATGTTGCACTGTACGTTGCATTGTACAGAAACTGATTAAACACCAAATCCACTGTTTGTTATTACAGGAAAGTACATGGCCTTTAAATCTTGTATTTTGGCAGCAAACTAGCAGTGCAACTTTAAACTGTTGACTTCCTACATGTTGTAAATGACAATCGTTCTAACATTATAAAGGTAGGAGATGTATTTTTGTCACTATGCACATCAGGCTCTTCAATCCAGACACCACCAGGTCTGAAATGGAGCACTAACACCAACAGACTGAAAACAGGATTCCAAGAAGGGCTACAAACAGTTGGCCAAGTCTTGCCACCACTGGGATGGTTTGAAGTTAGCCTGCGTTTCCTTGGCTTGTTTAAAAACTGCTTGCTGCAAAACAGTGCCTCACTGCAGTTCTGTGTGCCTGTAGACAAGCAGTATTATTAATCAGGGCAGTCATCTGTCTGATGCCTTAGCTCTGCTGCTGGATCTGTGAGCTCTTCATGTCAAAAGAGATAGTACAGACAGAAATTCAATTTTAACTCCAAAAAACTTTAAAGAATAACGCAACATCAATAAGGTCATAAACTTGGGAAACAAGACAAAACATTCTTCAAAACAAACAACGAAAAATATTCCAGTATTCAGCTCATATCTGATATTTTAAACTAACCAATTTAACAAGCTTTGCACGATACTAACAATATGAAAACACCAGAACAACTGTACAGACCTTTTGAAAACAAGACCCTAAGCAATCGTATTACAGGAACTATATTTCATTTAATCTCGATAGGTACTTGCAACACAAGCTAAATAAAATGTCACAAAGAATTCCTGTACTACTCATCCACAAAGGAAACATGAGCTTCACGCTTGTTTGACTATTAACACTTATTAACACATGATTTTATTATTCATCAATATAGTCAGGATGCCATAAAATATGGTTTACCATATTACATTACATATACATTCAGCTTCTCAGATTTTACAATTAAATATAAATATATAAAAGCCTAATTTTCTTCAGTGTACCTTAAGGTAAACCCTCTTCAGGCCCAATCATGAAACTGACTACAATGTACAATTATGTACTGCAACGCTTACTGACATTTCATGACCATCATTAGAAAAAAATGCAGCAAATAAAACTGCAGCAGCTCTCATCTTGCAATTAACCCTTTACCAATACTGTCCATTTTAGGCGGTATCTGACGTTAAACGTTTTAGGGGAAGAATTCCATAACGCGAATAACGAGCGCCCAGTATAAAGGTAAAACGTGTTTTTACTTGGCAGATTCCAGCCCTAAAGGAAAACTGGCTCAGTGCGTCTAGTCACAATAAGGTGGTGAGACAATTTTTAGAAAAAAATGTTTTTTTGTTTTGTGGAATATGAATTATGGTAAAACCCCTGCAATTCTCCTGGATTTGCCCACCTTAATCATTAAGCGTTAATGATTCTTCCCACATGACAAACCCACAAAAAATAGAATCTATAATCCATGGCTGTATTCCATCTGATCCATTTCATGAAAATGTCACAAGGACTTGCTTTGTCCCATTTCACCTGGTATTTTCATGGGCCATGCGAGATGAGTGGAGATGCACCACGTTTCATTATACAGGGAAGGAGCTGGGAATGCAGCAGTACTTTCTGACATCCCATCCACTTAACAGGGGTATCCCTCACAATGCAAGTCTAAGAAGCGATGCTAAGTACTCACTCTGATCCAGCAGCCATGTCTGAGTAGGACGTATCTGGTGTAGTGACTCCCAGAGGGATTACTATGCTCATGACGTCCAGCACAGCGGTGAGGGGGGGGG